AAGAAATCAAAGGACGTATTGCACTGGGCAAATCTGCTGCAAAGACCTCTGTATTTATTTATACTTTTTTTTTTTTAATTGTACTTCAGGTGAAGGTTTATAGAACAAATTGTTTCTCCTTAAATAGTCAGTACACATATTGTTTTATGACATTGGCTAACAACCCCATGACATGTCAACCCTCTCCCTTCTTGACCTTTTTTTTTTTTTTTGGTGAAAATGCACATAACCAAAGATACACCATCCATTTCAAAAATTTCTGCATGCACAGTTCAGTGATATCGATTACGTTCTTCCAGTTGTACTGCTATTCTCACTTTAGATGAAGGTTTACAGAGCAAATTAATTTCTCATTAAATAATTAATACACATATTATTTTGTGACATTGGTTGCCAACCCCAGGACATGTCAACACTCCTCTTGTCTACCTTGGTTCCCCATTACCAGCTTTCCTGTCCCCTCCTGCTTTCTTATCCTAGTCCCTGGGCTGGTGTTCCCATTTAGTCTCATTTTGTTTAATGGGCCTGTCTAATCTTTGGCGAAAGGGTGAACCTCAGGAGTGACTTCAGTTCTGAGTTAAAAGGGTGTCCCGGGGCCATACTCTCAGGGTTTCTCCAGTCTCTATCAGACCAGTAAGTCTGGTCTTTTTTTGTGTGTGTGTGACAGTTAGAATTTTGTTCTACATTTTTCTCCATCTCTGTCTGGGACCCTCTATTACGATCCCTGTCAGAGCAGTCGGTGGTGGTAGCTGGCACCATCTAGTTGTGCTGGACCCAGTCTGGTGGTGGCTGTGGTTGTTGTGGTTCATTAGTGCTTTGGACTAATCTTTCCCTTGTGTCTTTGGTTTTCTTCATTCTCCCTTGCTCCAGACGGGGTGGGACCACTGGAGTATCTTAGATGGCCACTCAAGCTTTTGAGACCCCAGACGCTACTCACCAATGTAGGATGTAGAATATTTTCTTTATAAACTATGTTATGCCAACGTATTGAAATGTCCGGAGACCATGGTCCCCCACCCTCAGCCCAGTAATTTGGTCCCTCAGAAAGTTTGGATGTGTCTATAACACTTCCATGGCCTTGACTTGGTCAAGTTGTGCTGACTTCCCTAGTATTGCATATTGTCTTACCCTTCATCCAAGTTACCACTTATATATTGTCTATTTAGTGTTTTTCCTTCTTACCCTCTCCTCCCTAGTAACCATTAAGGGATGTTTCTTTCTGTGTGTAAACCTTTTCATGAGTTTTTATAATAGTGGCAAAAGACCTCTTTATAATGTTAAAAAGCAAAGTTGTCACTTTGAGGACTAAGGTGTGCCTGCCCCAGGCTATGGTATTTTCAATCACCGCATATGCATGTGAAAGCGATACAATGAATACAGAAGACTGAAGAATTGATGCCTTTGAATTATAGTATTGGTGAAGAGTATTAAATATACCACAGACTGCCAAAAGAAACTTGTGGGAGATTATACAATATGGGAACTCAGTCTGGGTCTAGGAGTTTCATAGAATTATATGTTATGTTTAATTAATCAATCATGGTGAATTACAGACACAGTGAACATGGTGAAAACCCTGGAAGATACGATCCATGTCTGTTTACTGCAGGTATCTGGCAATAAATATCTGTTGAAAGAATGAGTGAGTGAAACAATCATGTACTTGGAAAGACCTGGGTTAGACAGGATCTGCTGCTAGAAACCTGTGTGACTTTTAAGATTTTTAGTCTGGCTAAGCCACAGTTCCCTCATCTGCAAAAGAGGAAGAAGATTTAAGTCTCAGGATTGTTAAATAAGTTTATGGGAAAATATCTGGCACAAAGTGAATATTCAGTAAATGCATTTCCTTTTGTTCTGTGAGGTAAGATTCTCAATCTGCTCCGACCGGGGCCTCCTACTGGCCTTTTCCCAAGAGCCAATGGCTTGAAATAGGCAGAACATATGGTGATATTTGCTTATTGCGATTTTCAGCCCTTTCTGCTTAGAATTGGAATTCTGGCGCTGCAACTTACTAGGAGTGACCTAGGGCATCCTCTTTGTGGCTCAGTTTCTTTATCTATAAAATGGACTAATTGTACCTACTTCTTAGCGGAATTGTAAAGAAAAATGTCTAGATTAGTGCCTACATACTAGGTGCTCAAAAAATGTTAGCTGGAATTTCTGCTTAGAATTTTTCTTTTCTTTTACTCTCTTTAAGGCTGTCAACTTCTTCTGCTGTCTATTGGCATTCTCAGTGGCTATGGTCTCTGCCGGGAAAAAAGACAAATTCAAGTGCAATTTGAGAGAACGTTCAGTAGATTCTTCCCGACATAACAAACCAGCAGGTTTAAAGTGCTGGTAGAGAGGTAGGGGCATCAGGACTCTGAAGATGGAGATCTTTTGTACCTGTAGCATAGGAGAGGCGGGGAAAGGAAAAGGCTTAACCAGGGAACCAGGTGTGACCACTTTTCACTGGATTTGGAGAGAAGAAGCAGTCTAGCAATGTCTCAGGACTGCTCTCTAGAACATTCATCAGCTTATTCCAGTGTGCATGTTCTCCCTCCTGTTCATTAGCATTTTTGTTTTTTGAAATAAGTAGGTGCTTTGTTCCTACAAAGTGGAGAGAAGTCAAGGAAAACACTTCTGGTGTGGGGCCTGGCAGGGGTGCCAGGACGTTATGAAGAATGTCTTGTCCATCTTTCTACTCCTAGGACTTAGCAAAGTGTCCAGCACTGCAGACCCTCAAAAGTGTTTGTAGAATTATTTTTCAAACTTAGTTGTCCTTTCCAAAGAAGCCTGTCGTACCCACACGCAGCCGCAAGCAGGTCCGCGCCTAGAAATAACATTTATTCTAAGGACCTCCGCGCGGAGCTTCCTGGGAAGCGGTCCCCCTCCCGCATCCTCTTGCTACTCCTCCCCTCCGCCGCCTTTGAAAGAACTGGCACGCCACGTGATTCCCTCCTTTCTCCCACCTCCGAAAACCTGGTTGATAATGGGCAGTAGCACAGGCCAACCGTAAGACCTTAGTTCTTCCTCCAGCCAATAGAAAGAAGCGATAAGTATATGGCTCTTCTTCTGGGAGTTGCCCCGCCCCCTTTTGAGCCCGCCTCCCCACTCCTCCTCTGAGATTCGACATTTGACAACTCAATGAGCCAATGAGAAGTTCCTACTCTGCATGGGAGGGCTGGACTGACTAGATGATAGACGTCCCCTACTGACCATTGGAATGTCATAAGGGCGGGAGGGGTGTAGGATGGAACCAATGGCGCGTTGCCAATAACGAGCATCAGGGAAAGGGCGGGTCGAAACTGTTAGCGGGAGGGAGGGGAAGGCCCGGGGAACCGAGCAGCGCTGCAGCCGCTGCCGCTGCTTGACTTAGAGGAGGGAGAAGCCAGAAAGAAAATGGCGGCTGTGGCTGCAGAGGCGGCAGCGACTGCAGCGTCCCCCGGGGAGGGGGGCGCCGGCGAGGCCGAGCCGGAGATGGAGCCTATCCCTGGCAGCGAGGCCGGTACTGACCCCCTCCCGGTCACCGCTACTGAAGCATCTGTGCCCGATGGTAAGGCCGACGGGCAGCAGTCCGCTCCTCAGGCCGACGAGCCGCCGCTCCCGCCGCCACCAGGGGAGCTCACCCGCAGCCCGCAGGCGGCGGGGCTAGAGCTGGAGGCTGAGGAGAAGCTGCCCGTCCGGCTTGCGGAGCCGGCGGCGGCCGCACCTCAGGAAGGGCCCGACCTTCCACCTTCTCCTGCACCGCCGCCGGAGCAGCCGCTGGCTCTGGAGGAGCGAGAGGAGCCACCGCTGCCCCAGCCTGCAGCTCCAGCGCTCGTGCCGCCTGCGGGCGGAGACTCTGCGGTGTCGCAGCTGATCCCCGGCTCGGAGGTGCGAGTCACGCTGGACCACATCATTGAGGACGCGCTCGTCGTGTCGTTCCGCCTCGGGGAGAAGCTCTTCTCCGGTGTCCTTATGGATCTGTCCAAAAGGTACTGCGCGCGTCCCCCATCACGCCCCCCGGGCGCCCCGGCCAGCGCGGTCCCAAGGGAGGGAGCTAGCCGGAGTGGCCCCTTGGCTCCCGCCTCCTGCACGCACGGGGCCCTGTCGACTGTACAGCCCTCCGGTCCTGCGCGTGCCGCGCTCTCAGAGTGGGGCAGGCGTGGCAGGCGTGCGATGCGGGGAGAGGGCGGTCCCTGCCCCAGGTGGGCTCCTGCGGGGGGCAGGTGTGTCGCGAACGGGGGTCGGGTGCTTCGCGGGCTCGCCGATCTCACCCCCTAGCCCCCTGGCCGCCTTCTGCGTCCACAGTCCGCTCACCCGCACTGGGAAGGGTGCGTTAATGCTAAATGCCAGATGGATTTTTGCAGTGATCAGAGTGCTGGGCGGGGGCGATTACTTGTGAGGCACTGGTGTGTTTGCCCTCGCATTAACCTTTAACTTTAGGGCGGGTTGGAGAAAAGGGTGTGTGCAGTGGGGTTCCCAAAACGTTACCTGTCACTCCATATAGGGGGGAAGATCAGTTATAAAAATGAGCCTTGTAACTGTTACTTTTAATGTTAGAAGTAATTCCCCTTAGGTAACTTTGTTCAATAGGGAAGCACATTTGGCTAATTTTACTCTTAAGAAAAGTCTAAGGAAGAGATCAGATTTTTTGTTTTGTTTTGTTTTACCTTTAATGACAAGGTGATGGGTGGCATAAAGCGTTCAGATGACTTCTAATACTATAGATTATAGTTTAAATTTATGTATTAAGAACGAGAAGGTTGAGTTCATCTACAAACCTCTGCCTTAACCAGCACATTTTCATCATTTTGTTTTAAAGTGTTTATGGACACTCCTTTAAACAAGTAACGATCATCTGTCTTTAAGTCTAGAGTTAAAGTTAACCTTTTTATTCTCTTCCTTTGCAGATATGAAGTGCAGAGACTCCCATTCACGGCTCTCCATTCTGTTTCCTGCAACAGCACACACTCTGATGGTATCTTACCTGCTTGGAAATGGCTTTTTAGTATGTTTCACTTTTAGCTCCTTGCCCTCTCATCAAGACACAAGAATCCTTCTTTCCCATTTGGGAAAAAAAAGCCATTTAAAATTTATAGCTAAGTATGGTATATGAGGGGAAGATGGGAGGCTTTACAGTTACTCTGTACACTGTTTAATCTCAGGTTTTGTTTTTTGTTTTTTAAGAATTTTGGCTCAGGACTTTTGTACTTTTGTTTTCATAATTAGAAAGCAGAATAAGATCAGTGTGCTTTCTGCTGATGCGTTTAGTAGTGAGAGACGCTCAGTAGTGTGTTTGCTATTGAATCAAACAGAAGAGAAGGCCAGTGATTGTGTGAGAATCTGGATTTCAAATCTGCAAAAGGAAGGTGCAAAAAGGTAAGTAGTTTTTACAGATGCAATGGATAGTGCTTTCTCGTTTTGAGGTTGTCATTGTGTTGGTGTTTGCTTGTTTTTTTTTTTTTTATTTGATAGAGAATTGCAGTTTATGAGGTTTGGTCTATTTTGCTAACAGTGTTTCGTATAAACAGCAATTTTTTTTGTTGGAAAAGCTTTTCTTACTATGAACCCTTCATATTTGAATGTTTTGAGTGAAAGGATCCGATCAAAGTATTTGTTTTAAAGCCATTAAGGGAACCATGTCAACTTTTCATTTAACAAATGTTTATTGAGCACATCTGTGTGAAAGGCACTCTTCTAGGTATTCTGAGTATGACATGATGTGTGAGACAAAGTCCCTGTCCTCTAGGAGCTAATTGGGAGGCACCAACTTGGAAGTGATGAGGTTTGAAAGTGAGGAAATACAACACAGTGTCTTTAAAGTTTCATAATTTAAAGAACTACTCGTTGGGTATTAAATTTTCATAATTTAATATGATTTGAAAAAAAGACCTGCCAATACATTTTTTAATCTCTGGTTGCTTTGATTACACACTTACATGTGGAGTTCTGGGGTTAAATGATGACCCAAGAGATACTTTTGTATAGGCTCTACCAAGATCATGACTCTGTACTCATCAGTTGCTTTAAAAATAATTTTATTCCTATTTGAATTAACCCTGAATTAAGTCTTTTGGTAAAAATAAAAAGAGCTTTTTGTTGAGTGCCTATTAAGTGCCAGGCATTGTACCACATGCTTTAGTGTTTATAACTCTGATGATAATTTTCATTTATGTAATAGGAAGAAATTGGGGTTCATTTAGCTTGGCAAGTCATTTAGCTTATTAATGGTAAAGCAAGAATTAAAATGTAGGTCTATCTAATTCTAAATCTATCCTTTTTCTACTTTTCTTATTAGAAAGTTAGTTGGTCTGGTGATTTTTTTTTTTTAAGCAGTAAGTAAAGAATTGGGTATTTCTGAAATTTAATGCTTACCTTAATGTTAGTGGCTGTATGTGATAATACAGAGGCTCTGGGTGGTGCAAATGGTTAACATGCTTGGCTGCTAACCGAAAGGTTGGAGGTTCAAATTGACCCAGAGGCACTCTGGAAGAAGGGCTTGGTGATCTACTTTTAAAAAGTTAGCTATTGCAAACCATATGCAACACAGTTCTCTTCTTGATACACATGGAGTCACCATGAATCAGAATTGACAGCAGCTGGTCTTTAGTTGATTAATAGCCATGGAACCATCTGCTCTAGAGACTCCTCATTTCCTTAGCAGTATATTGGGACAACATAGTAGGCTCTAAAGTCTTGGTTCTTGCTTGTCCAATGAGATAGGTAATAAAGAATTAACATTTGAGAGACTACTAAGTTCATCAATGTATGTGTGCTTTGAATTCTTCAGTCTTCAAGAGGAATTTAATAAAATTTTAATAATTTCTTCTTTATTTTATTCTGACATTATATGTGGTGCAGAAGTGTCTTTTAAAGTTGAGGAGTTGTCCACTGTGTGGCAAAAGGATTTGATCCTGGAAAAAAGAATTTAATATGTATGTGGATTGATCAATAACTTTTATAATCATTTGATTTTTTTTTTTTTTTTTTTTGCCTTATTTTTTTGCCCTACTTTTGGAGTTATTTGATTGAAGAACACATTTTCTGTTTGTGGAAAACAAGAGGAGGACACATTTAACTCAACAGTAACAACATACAGAGAAAAAAAAAAGGAAGAAAAGAAAGAGATACTAAGTGATTAGTAGACCTGGGCAGATTGTTAGGGTACTTGGATATTTGGTTCTAGTTCCAACCTCTCCAATTTAACACTGTGATTTTGGGCAAATCATTGTGACTTTCTGGGCTCCAGTCCATCTAGTTCTCTTGTAAGGCTAGTTTATTTTGGCTTTGGGCAGTTCACTTAAACACATAGAAACAAAATTTAGGCCTCAGTCTATACGTAAAGTGAATAGGGTGACCAGGTGGCCTGGTTTTTCTGAACCATTCTAATTTAATTGTTAATATCTCTTCCTTTCTTAAAGGTAGCTTGCTTTGGCAGATAATGACGTGGTCGCCCTAAAAATAAGGGTGTTTGAATATCAGGTTAAAAAGTTTGTTAAGCTTAGTTATTTATTTGATATTGAATGCCTTTAGATGGGACAGCCTTTAGTTTTGTCTGTGCTCTTTCATTATTGTTTTATACCCAACCCTCTTAGCTAATTTAGATTATCTGCCACCATGTGTGCTTGTTAGCAATCCTTACACCATTTTCTTTTTATAATTGTTACTATACAGTCTTCTACTAGCAGATGAAAATAATGAACCCTACAAATTCAGCTTGGATTTTCCTATTCCCTTTGGCGTAGTGGTTAAGAGCTTGGCTGCTAACCAAAAAGTCAGCAGTTTGAATCCACCAGCTGCTTCTCGGAAACCCTGTGGGATCTCTGTGAGTCGGAATTGACTAGATGGCAACGAGTTTTATTTTTTTTTCTTAACCTTATCGTTTTGTGATTTTTGTCATGGGTATGCTTTTCTTCATTTAGCATTATATAATAAGCGTTTCTTCAAGTTGCTAAACTGCCTTAATGATTATTTTAGGCAGAATAATAAATTAGTGGTTGTGCCGTAAATTTTGTTTAGGTTTTTATCATGGGAATTCAGTTTCCATATATGTATCACCCAGGGCTTCAGCATTTCTCAGCTTTAAGCCAAACCTGTTTCCTCATACCTGCCTCCACTGAACTATTTTCAGGCAAATCCCAGACATATCACTTTATCCATAAATATTTAGTATAAATCTAAAAGATGAGGACTTAAGACACACAACCATAGTAATATTATCACACCTAAAATAATAGCAAAAATACGTTTATGTCATTCAGTTTAAAAATGCTACACATTGTTTCAAAGCTCTCAAAAACAACATCAATACTATTATAAGTTTTGTTCAAATCAGTTCCAAATAAAGTTCATACTTTGCAGTTGGTTGATTTTCTTAAACCTTTTTTCATCTGTAGTTCTCCTGCCATCGCTTTAATTCTCTTGCAATTTATTTTTAAAGAAACCATGAACTTTGTTTTGTAGAATTTTCTACATTCTTGATTTTTTTCTAATTGCATCCCCTTCAATGCATTTCCATAACATTTCGAAATAGTTCTTTTCCCATAGGAGCTAACTGACAGGGCAGCAACACAGTCCTCCCAAGGTCTATTTTGAAAGCCTCTCTTCCCTTGTTTTGGGTCAGTAGAAATAATTATGGATATCTCTTAACGTGCCTGCAAACTTTTAGACCTATCCTTTACCCACACCTCCAACTCCAAGTCCAAACATAGAAGAGTGTAACCAATCAAGGTAATCTACAAAGAAAAACAGCCTTCAACCCAGCCTTCTGAAAAGGTAGTTCCTCAGCCTTCTCAATTTATACCTGAAGGGGTATTAATTATTGGGACCAACCGTTTCTGCCTGCACAGAGGGTTTTTTTTAAATGGTCTGTTCATTGCTAGTCTTCACAAGAAACACATCTGATACTACCTGTGGGAATGTATTTAGTACATCTTACAAAAATGGTAAAAAAAAAAAAAAAAAAATTGAAATCCTGAAAAATCTTTTTAAATTCCAGTTCTCTTGACCTGACATTAAGGAATCATGAAGTAAATGCTTGTGTTTAAAAATGCTTGCGCATTTTAATTTTGTAGTACGCTTATTAAAGGTTGTAGCTAGTTGTATTTTAGGATCAATCTTATACAAATTTTGACATTTTTGTGTGTATGTGGGGTACTATTGCATTAACAACAATTGAAGTGATTTCTTCAGAAAACCTCAGGTTTCACTGTTTTTAAAACAATTTGTAGCAAATTTACTTGTTCTTTAAAGAAATATAAACCAAGACAATGATTTCTTTTCTTTACAGAGACCATGAAACGTATGGTGCAATAGCCCTACTTTGGTGGGAAAAATATACAGCCATTCTGGTGAAGCAGTGAGTAGTAGTATCAGTAGCTTAACTAAAGTGCCCAGGTTGAGAATTTAGGCCTTCAAGTAGTGTGCTTGTTTGTGTTGGGTTGTGCTTACTTAAAACTCAAATTTAATTTTTTTTTTGGGTGGCGGGGGGGTGTTATTCTGATTATGTCCCAAGGTGTAGATAAAGGGTTCCCACTGTGAAATAGCCAAGAGGCGAGTGCTAGTCACTTTCTGACCCAGTTTTAGGACGCCCACTGTTACACAACTATACTGTATTGAGAGTGAATGCTTCCATTGCATGTTACACTGACCTGATCAGGGTTTTTTTTCTTAATGGAAGTGATTAGTTGTTGGACATTGAAAACCTAGTTTGAATCTGAGTGTAAAAAATCCTGTAACATTATGGTATCAAAAATTTATAGCTAGGTTTTATAAACTAGATAACTAGATGTGTTATACACAAACTATGCCAGGCATGTTTTATTGGACTTGGGGTTTCTCATGAAGTTAATTTTCAACCTTTTAGATCTAAATGAGACTACACATCACTGTCTACTGTTTGAAAGCAAATCTCTTGATGAAACTAGGTTTAATCTTCCTAAAATCAACTTTTCTGTGGAGGGTATTAAAGAGTTTGTATATTATATGTTTATCTTTACTGTTATGACTGAGTAAATTTCATATTGATAAAAAATGAAAGACATTTTTAGCGGTTAGTTGTACCTATTAGGTGCGTCATCATTTCTTGATATTTACTGGTCCTATCTCCCTAAATTCTTGAATTAATTCAAGCACATATTACCAGCAGAACAGAAGCTTGCTCTGGTTCTCAGATCTTGCAAGAATGAATAAATAGAGGTTAAGTTATATTCTGGGTGGGTTTAATCTAGAATGTTTTTGCTAAACTCTTTTGGGTGGTGGTCCTCAGAACAAGTGTGCATAAAAATTTCTTTGAGTCCTTGTTATTGATGCAGATTTCTGAGGTCCATTTCACCAGTCTGCATTTTGACAAGGTGATTCTGATGCAGATGCTTCTTGGACTATGTATAGGAGATATACTGATTTTTAGGGGGGTGATTTTGCCAAAATAGTAGAAAGATACATTTGTCAATCTTGTTTGAAAAGTTACTGGTTAATTAAGAATTGGACATAATTACAAAGTAGGCAGTTGATGTGGGGATGGGCAACAGGTCCAGATCCTTATTGTAGAACTAGTATAGTAGGCTTGCAAATGGTTTCTTAAATTTGATTGCCTGCTAGAGTTTAAGTGATCTATAATTTTCATCTTTTTTCCTCTGGAACCAATTTTACCTAGTCACCTTACTATAGAATAATGGCTTTTAGCCTTTTAAAACTTATTCCTGCTATAATACTTAATTTCACTTTTCTGCATATTCTCACCATCTAAGATTAACAAGCTTTACTTTCTGTAATCAATAATAGCTACTATGTATTTCCCACTTCTATGCCCCACACCATGCTGAGTACCTTGTATACATTGTATCATTTAATTCTCTGTAAAATCCAATGAAGTAAATTCTGTTAATCTCATTTCACAGATACAGAGACTGAGGCTCAGAGGGATTGTAAGTAAGCAAAATTAAGTGGCATATATTAGTAGGTATATTGAAGATGCCTTTTTGTACTATATACACTTTCTAGGATTTGAAAACAACCCTGCTTAAGTTGTCATACTAATATACTTTATCATTATTAACTTATGACTTGATGGGAAGTTAACTTTCTACTAGTTAGAAATGATAGAGCTCTCTGTTCTTCACTCACCCAGTGCTGTTTGCTTTTAAAATATTAATAGCTCTTCAGTTCAATTTAGGGAATTATTTGGGCATTGTGGAAATGGGATTTCTTGTTTATATGTGACCTTTGGTCTTAAATTAGGTACAATTTGTTTTAGCTTTGTTGGCCTGGCCTTGGCCACAGTGAACTACACTTGTTTGGTAAGGAAGCAAGAATTGCCAGATTTGGAGCTCATACACCACAAACTCAGTATTCAGTAAGTACTGGATGATGGAATTTGAAACAGATTTAGAAAGGATTTAAAAAGACTAAAATACAGTAGGTTGTTGGACCACGTATTTTTGGTAAAATAGAAATAGTGAAATGATAATAGGCTTGAATAAATTACCTTTAAAAAAAAAAAAAAAGTCGTCCTGTTGTAGACCTCTGTGGCACCTTTGGACATAACCCAACCCAAACCCATTGCCATTGAGTCAATTCCAACTCATAGCATCCCTGTCTGACAGAGTGGAACTGCCCCATAGGGTTTGCAAGGCTGTGAATCTTTATGGAAGCAGACTGCCACATCTTTCTCCTGCAGATCAGCTGGTAGGTTGAAGCCACTAACCTTTTGGTTAGCAGCTAAGTGCCTTAACCACTGTGCCACCAGGGCTGCTTATTGGACATAATACAGATGAAGTATTAAAAGTACGTAGAAACTAAAACAGAAAAAGGGGACACTTCAACTTCTTATTGGTATCTGAGAACCAGGACCAAGGGAATTCTGTTCAAGTGTTTGAACTGATGAGTATTTACATTAAAAATTAAAAAGAAGATCCTTTTATACTAGTGTTCATTTTCTTGGGAAAATATCAAGCTATGTTGTTAAAATAAATGATACCATACAAAAGTGAAGTAAAGGTTTGTCTAATCTTAAAAATATCTTGCCACTGCCTAGCTATTATTTTCTTGGGTGGTTATTTTAAAAGAAAAAATCACTGTAGGGAGTTAAATAATTTGAATAATATTCAGATGTTATTACTGTTTTTGCTTTTGAAAAGGCTGAAGCATATGTGTTTTCTGTATAGGTGCTTCCATTTTTATTTCCAAGACTTGTTATCTAGGGAAGTTTCTTCAGAGGACTGTTTGAAGGTACACGCCTGGGAGCTTAAAATCTTAAGTTATTAAAGGAGTATTGATAAACTTTTTTTTTTTTTTTTTAAATAAAGATCGAATAAATTCTTACGGCTAGAGAGATGTTCCCTAAGAATTTTTTTTATATAGTTCCTTATCTACCAGTTAATTTTTAAATATATTTCCTTGTTTCATAACTTATGCATGTTTTGTTATTGATGTTGTAAAAGTCATTTTCCTTCCCCCCCACACATTTGGTTACCCATAGTCTCTGCAGATTGCCGTTGTAATATTTGGGAGTTTTAATTAAAAACATTATTCAGTCATTTACAGTTAATAAAATTAAACACATTTAATTTTAATGTAATAATAGCTATCATGTTGTACCTGCTTACTTTGTACCAGGCCCTATGGTTAGCACTTATGTATATTCTTTAATTTTGATAGCAACTACATCACATTTCTTAACTGCAATTCCAAAATTCAAAAAGCTGTGAAAACTGAAGTTTTTGTTACTTTTTCGGTAGCAAAACCTAGTCTAACCTGAAAGGATGTGAGGCTGTTTATATCTGTTTATCCCATTTAATATGAATATTTTTTTCACTTATTTCACTGCTGAAATATTAATATGCTTGATTATGGGGTACTCATCTTTTGAAAACCAAAACAAATTCTGAATTCTAAAAAAAAAAAAAAAAATTCTGAATTCTGAAGCCCATCTACCTCCATGGGGATCCCTGATAGCACAGTAGTTAAAAGTGCTCAGCTGCTAACCATAAAGGTCGGTGGTTCGAACTCACCAGCCACTCCAGGGGAGAATGGTGCGGTGATCTACTTCTGTAAGGATTTACAGCCTTTGAAACCCTATGGGGATAGTTTTACTGTGTCCTATAGGGTCTCTATCAGTTGGAGTTGACTCGACGACAGTGGGTTTGGTTTTTTGGTTTTAAGCCTCTGAATCCTTACCTGTCTCCTATAGAGGAGAAAATTAGGTTGTTCTGTTGCACCTGGTCGTCTGGTGGTTTTTGGTGAACCTGGTCTGTTTTGCTTTGTTTTAAAACCAATTTAATTGGTTACCAGCATTCAAATTGGGTAACCACAGTCATCACCATTCTCTTTGCTTAATCTGCTTGGCCCTTCTAGGTATAGCCCCATTCCTCGCAAAGTGCATTTCCTGATCAATAATCACAATGATTTCTCTACTGTCAGACTAAGTAGCATACTGGTTTTTTAATATAGATTTTGTGCTTAGCAGTACATGAAGTGAGTTTGCTGGCATTTACACTTCAGTAAGAAATTTTCTTTTTATATAATTTCTTTGAAGGTTTTGGTGGAACCGAGGTAAACTAAATTTAAGACTATTTTAAAAACAAATTATTTTTTAACTTTTTATTTTGAGATAATTTCAACATAAAAAACTCAAGAATGGCACAGAAAACTGTAAACTTTTTATTTAGATTCACTAATTTTTAACATTTTGCCACATTTGCTTTATGATTCTCTATATAAATAGATACATACATTTTTTTTCCTGAAATATTTAGGAGTAGTTTGCATACGTCATTCTCTTTTACCCCTTAATATTTGAGTGTGTATTTTCCAGGGCTTTGAACTGATTTGAACTAGTTCATGCATGGCCGACAAAGCGAAATTGGAACAGACCTGAAGTTTTAAAATACGGATGAAGCGGTATGATAAGCGGAACGGGAAAAATTACAGGTCGAAGTGCTGGAATGGGAGACTTGAAAGAGGAGTCGTGAGCCCTTTCAGGAGCCTGATGTGGGAGATTGGCTTATTGCCAGGACTGTTGAGAGGAACACAACATTCAGAGGGATGTAGTCGGCTGCCATCTTTGAGCAGGGCACTGCTGTTTCCAACTCTGCTGGTCAAGAGGTTTCGTTGCTAAGCAGTGCATGCACTCCTTGGTTTCTAAGATGGAGATTAAGTTTCTAGCAGGGCTTCGACCCGTAATTTTTCCCATTCTGCTTATCGTTCTGCTTCACCCACGTTAAAAAAAAATTTGAGTCTGTTCGGGTTTTGCTTTGTTGTCCATGACTGAACTGAACAGAATCTGTGTAAAGTCCTGGTATTTTCTAAGAACAAAGATATTCTCATACATAACCACAGTTTAGTTTGTAAATTCAGGAAACATTGATAGAGTACTTTTATCTAATTTGCAGCCCCTATTTCATAACCTTGTCAGTTTTCTAAAAAATATCCTTTCTAGCTTTTTTACCCCTTCAGTACATTATCGTGTATTGTATTTAGTTGCAGTATAATAATAAATATATGCAATAAGGAATATCTCTCAATTTGGGTTTGTCTGGTATTTGCTTATGAGTAGGTTAGGTATACAAGCCGTGTTGTCCTCAGGGTGTTGTATCTACAGGCACATGATATCCATTTGCCCTCGTTGGTGATGTTCACTTTGATTCTCCAGTCAGGTCAGGGTGTTGTCCTGTTTCTCCTCCCTGGAGTTATTATTACTTCCCTTGCAATTCATAATCCCTGTATGATCTTGCAAATATATGACTTCTCATCAAATTTTCTCATTTGTCCTGAGATTAAATTTTGACATTCTCGCAAAGATGTGAAATGTGAACCAAAGTAAGTTCCCTCCTTTATGATTTAACCTGTTGCTAATTTCTAAACAGGGCGGTGTTTTGTTCTGTTGTACATAGGGTTGCTATGAGTCCGAACCGCCTTGACGGCATCTAACAACAACAATTGATAAACATCTTTTAGCATTGTAAGGAGAGGTAGTTTCTAAAGACATCTGCTTGAAATAAAATAAATCTGGATATTATTTTTCAGTTGGTTAAATTGCATATGATTTTTTTCCCACTGTTAGGTTCTTTTAGTTTTTTTCAAGAGGATGGAATTGTGGGAGGGGAAGGTTTCTTTTGTCTTCTGTTGATACTTCTGTTGTTTGCTGGGAGGGGTTTGGTCTAGCCCGCACTGGGACCTGTCTCAACTGACCCTCTGTAACTTTTTTCTGAGCAGTGAATTCCTCAGGACCTCTGTTCCACTTGCATAAAGTTTGTAATACCTTTGCTTTTTACTTCTTTATTTTTAGTGTATCAAATTTTAAAAAGAATCCCCTCCTCCAGTTGCAGCTTGGTAACCAGAATTGGAGGGAATAAAATGAGAATCAGTTGTGCACCGTTACAACTGTTGTAAACAGGTAGGAAAAGAATATAATCCTAGGTCAGGGAAGAGTTAATTGAGTTGCTGTGAAGTTAATGCTGATGAAACTTTTTCAGCATTTAAAAAAAAAAAACCTTTCAGAATAAGAGGTAAGAGTTATAAATATATCTGACTTTTGAAAAAATTGGGCTTTTGTTGATAATAGTTTTGAGATTTTCCTTTGGGCAGGGAATTTGGATGATGGTTATGAGCTTTACCCCAAGAAGTGATGCATATTTAGGTATAGGATTGATGAGTAATGCTAGAAATCATTAACAAATACCATCATTTTGTAAAGCTTATCATTAAGTGAATAAAAGTTTTATTCATTTAGTCAAAGCTAGAACCATCAGAAGAATTCAGATAGCTTTAAATGGAATCCAAATACCACATAATATTTTCATATTTCCTATAATAGTCACGTTTTGAATTTTGATGAAAATACCCCACATTTACATTTGTTTCTCCTTTGCATTAGGCTGAGGATGATTCTTTTTCATAATGATTATCTCTTGCCGTGACACAAAATAACTATTAAACCCCAGTATGCTACCCCCTCAAATTTTTGGTACTCGTTACTCCTACTAAATTATTAAGATAGCTATTTTTAAAATCTTTTAATTTTGAAATAATTATAGATTCACTGGATTTCGCAAAGGTAATTTTTAAGAGACAATAATTTTGTTGCTGCTTTATATTATTTAGGGTATAGTTTCATAGGTTGGTGGCTTTTAAACTTTTGGAGCAGTGTTAGATATTTTACATCTGGATCCAAGTATACATACGTATACACATGAAACAGATTCATTGCAGTTACAGGTATTTACTCTTACCATCCTTGTGCACTCTGATTATTTTAATGATAGTCGTGACCCTTGAAATTGATTTCATGACCAGTGTCTCCACCCTACCGTGGGTAGTGTTTTCCATGTAAGTGTGACAGCATGATGATTGAAGTGAAGTGAGGACAGATGACTCCCCCTCTTCTTCTAAGAGTGATTTGTCTTTGTGGTCCTTTGAGGAAGTTTTTTTTTTTTTTAATACCTAAAACATTTACCATTTCCACAGTTGTCACATGTACAGTTCGGTAACATTAATTGTGTGCATTATGTTCAACCATCATCGTTAACCATTCCCAGATTTTTCCATCATACCTAACAGAAGCTCAGTTTCCCCTAAGCATTGTGAGGAAGTTTTATTATTATTATTTAAAAATACTTTTCTGACACATCAGGGGATTGGCAACCAATGTCACAAAACAATATATATATTAATTGTTTAATGAGAAACTAATTTGCTCTGTAAACTTCCACCTAAAGAACAATCAAAAAAAAACAAAAAACAAAAAACAAACTTTTCTGCTATTTCCAAGTATCCACCACCCATAGTTACTACTTTTTTATCTTTCCCTTTTTCTTTTGGTTAATTTCCATTTCTCAATGTACAATTAAGTGTTTCCTTATGTTATTCAGAACATTTAATGCTTGAGTATTTTATATGCTTAAGAGAGAAAGGCAAGGAAAAAAACAAGTCAGATGTGAAATTAATGTTCTTATTAAATACCATGAGGGTAAACGTAACAGATTCCACAATTTACTGGATATAAATAGCTTTAAAATAGTAGACTCGGTCATTCTCACATTGAGATAATAAACTAAGGGTATGGGAAGGATCCTAAACTCTAGCAAATTATTGGTTTGAAAATAAGATCAAATTGTTTAAATAAAGTAAATGAAAGGTATACTTTTAGCCAAGAAAAAGGCTAACACTTATTGACCAGTAATCCTCACCTGAATCTTTTAAAGTAGGAAATATTATTACTACATCTTGCACATACAAAAACTGAAGTTTAGAGGGGCTAAGTAACTGGCCCAAGGATATAAAGACTTGGTAAGAGATAGCTGTGAAACTTCACCTCAACCGTTAGGATAATTACGGTTTAGTTATTAATAAAAGGAAGGAAATTTACTCTTTACCCCAAACTCATTGCCGTCGAGTTGATTCCGTCTTATAGTGACCCTGTAGAACAGAGTAGAACTGCCCCAGAGAGTTTCCAAGGAGCAGCCCAGTGCTTAACCACTGCGCCACCAGGGCTATCACGTGGAAGTGTAATGGGGGCAAAACGATGGCTTCTTATGAGTTACAAAATTTTATTGTTAATAATACAAATAGCGATCTTACCTCAGATAAGTCATACTGTTTTACATAGCTCTACATTAAAAAACAAAAATTACCTCTCTGTTTTTAAAAAAGTGGTTATTGAGCACCTATGTAAGAAAAGGCTTAATGCTCAATTGCCACGCCAGTACTTGTTTAAGTAGTCAGGCAGCAAACACTTAGGTGCCAGATGCTCTGCTACAGTAGAAAGTAGCTTTTTGCAAAGTTTGATCCAGTGAGGAGGGTGCCCTTTGTGGATTAGCCCAGACCTAAGTTTGTCTCACCCTAGGTAAAAAAAGGCTTTCCTCTTCATGGTTTGTATTTGCTACAAGTTGTTGGTTTGTGGTAGCCACGCTGATAAAGACTTTAGGAGGGAAACTATTTAGGTGTTAGGACCAGGTTTCCAGATATCCTGGTGTTTGTCAGTTCTTCATATATAATTTGTCTGAGTTTAGTTGTTGTGTCTACAGCTGTCAGTACCTAATCTCAAAGTTTTTTCCCAAAAAAGGTATTCTGAATCTTTTTGGAGGCATAAGAACATTTTAGAAAATCTGAGAGCTAGAGACCTATTCTCTAGAAAAACAAGCATATACAAAACATTTGCATCTAATTTCAGGGATTCTACCTGACAGCCTGAAGCCAGTTCTTGAGTTCTTTAAAGGACTGGCATTAGGATTGTATCGTTTGAATCAAATAGTGCTTAGAATGAACATGTTAACATATATGCTGAAATTATTTAGTAGTGATTTCATTTTTATGTGAAGGAAACTGAACATAGCAAATTTAGTTTAAATGTTGGATTCTTGATGTTTAGCCCAGGCATATTAAGCCACAGTTATTTTTAAGTCTATATGAGAAACAAGGCTATTGACCTCTGTTTTATTAGAAGCTGAGGGTTATTAAGGTTTATGTCCTACATACTACCCGTTGCCGTTCAGTTGATTCCGACTATTGCTTTACAAGCTGGGTCTGGACCTATAACGGAGTTTTGAAATCGGTTTATAAGAGCTTGGCTGCTAACCAAAAGGTCTGCGGTTCAAATCCACCAGTCGCTCCTTGGGAACCTTATGGGGCAGTTCTGCTCTGCCCTGTAGGGTCGCTATGAGTTGGCATTGACTCAATGGTAACGGGATTTGGTTTTGGACTATCATTAAAACCAATGAAATAGACCAGAGTGGGAAAAAATATCTTTATGTATCACATATGGTAAGCTTAAGTATTTGGTTACTTTTGTTTTAGTGTACATATGTATGCATACATGCATGTATACATGTATGTTTTTATTGGATTACAGTGTGAAAATACTTCTTAATGTGGGATGTGATTTAAAAAGTTTGAAAGATATAACTGTACCTTTCTGCTTTTGAGGTAGTTTACCAAATTCCTGGTGTTTTTGCTTTTATTTGAGGGGACAGGGTGAAGGAGCTTAAGAATTAGGATGGTAAAAGAGCAACTTTCTTTGAATTTTTATTGATCAGCCAATAAAGTTGAAATGGGATTTTGTTGATGCAGCTTTTTTTGGTAGTTAAGTAATGCTGAATTTGCCTTGTGAACCTTTTGAAAGGTATTATAACCCAAGAAAGATATGTATGTTACAAATTTATAGTTGTATTTGCTGGCCATATTGTAGTAATATCACATGATGTTTAACATTAAGCCACCTGATAGAACATCCTTCTAATAAGACTGAGAAGGTCTGTTTTAAGTAAGGTCACCTATGCTGCTTAGGGCAGCTATTTGAAGTATTTGTTTTTACCTAAAATTTAGAACCAGAAAATGAAAGGACTTTGAGATTTTGATGGGAAGTGGTCAGTAGCTTATTTTTAAATATGAAATAGGTTTCAGGAACAGTCATACATTAAGTGTTGTTTAAAAAATTGAATTGTAGACATTAACTGAATGGCTTCTTTTGTTTTTCATTTCTTTCAAAGGTTTGGGCCCCATGGGATCCCTGTGACAGTATTTCCCAAAAGGGAATATAAGGATAAACCTGAAGCCATGCAGCCCCAGAGTAATACATTCCAAGAAGGGACAGAAGTCGATCGAGAAGCGAACGGTGCTGTTCCCCACGACCCTCCTCCTGTCCCACCTCCCGAGCCGAGCCTGGCTGAAAGCCTGTGGACTTCCAAACCACCACCTCTCTTCCATGAAGGAGCACCTTATCCTCCCCCTTTGTTTATCAGGGACACATATAACCAATCAATACCTCAGCCACCTCCTCGGAAAATTAAGCGACCCAAACGAAAAATGTATAGGGAAGAACCCACTTCTATAATGAATGCTATTAAACTACGGCCCAGGCAAGTCCTGTGTGACAAATGTAAAAACAGTGTTGTTGCTGAAAAAAAGGAAATTAGAAAAGGTAGTAGTGCAAGTGACTCTTCTAAATATGAAGATAAAAAACGGAGAAATGAAAGTGTAACTACTGTGAACAAAAAACTTAAAACTGACCATAAAGTGGATGGGAAAAACCAAAACGAAAGCCAGAAAAGAAATGCTGTGGTTAAGGTTTCAAATATTGCTCACAGCAGAGGCAGAGTAGTTAAAGTTTCTGCTCAGGCAAATACATCAAAAGCTCAGTTAAGTACTAAAAAAGTACTCCAGAGTAAGAACATGGATCATGCAAAGGCTCGGGAAGTGTTGAAAATTGCCAAAGAAAAGGCACAAAAGAAGCAAAGTGAAACCTCTACTTCCAAAAATGCACATTCAAAAGTCCATTTCACACGTCGATATCAGAATCCTAGCTCAGGTTCCCTTCCACCCCGGGTTCGGTTAAAACCACAAAGGTACAGGAATGAAGAAAATGACTCTTCTCTGAAGACAGGGCTTGAGAAAATGCGGAGTGGCAAGATGGCACCCAAGCCCCAGTCTCGCTGCACCTCCACCCGCTCAGCAGGTGAGGCCCCTTCAGAAAATCAGAGTCCCTCCAGAGGCCCACAAGAGGCCGGCAGTGAGGTTCAGGACACAAATGAAGTGCATGTGCCTGGTGAGCAGAATGAACCACAGACATTGGGCAAAAAGGGCAGCAAAAGCAATATCTCTGTTTACATGACCCTAAATCAAAAGAAATCTGACTCTTCCAGTGCATCAGTGTGTAGCATTGATAGCACGGATGATTTGAAATCTTCCAACTCTGAGTGTAGTTCTTCAGAAAGCTTTGACTTTCCTCCAGGCAGTATGCACGCGCCTTCCACCTCCTCCACTTCCTCCTCTTCAAGGGAAGAGAAAAAGCTCAGTAATTCCTTGAAAATGAAAATCTTTTCCAAAAACGTCTCTAAGTGCGTCACACCAGATGGCAGGACCATATGTGTAGGGGACATTGTTTGGGCCAAGATTTATGGCTTCCCTTGGTGGCCAGCCCGTATTCTTACTATAACTGTGAGCCGGAAAGATAATGGCCTTTTAGTCCGACAGGAGGCCCGCATTTCATGGTTTGGGTCTCCAACAACATCTTTCCTTGCTCTTTCGCAACTCTCCCCCTTTCTAGAAAACTTCCAGTCACGCTTTAATAAGAAGAGAAAGGGCCTGTATCGAAAGGCTATCACAGAGGCAGCTAAAGCTGCTAAGCAGCTGACCCCTGAAGTGCGGGCTCTGTTGACACAGTTTGAAACTTGAATGTGGACAGTCAGGTAGGCAAGAACGATTGGAAGGCGCCACAGATTTTCCAGTCCAGTTAGGAAAAACTTCCTTGAAATACCCTGGCCAAATGAGAGAGAGAAATTGCACTCAGTTGGCTGGTTTTTTTTTATACTTACCTGATAGCCATTTTTGACTGAGAAGCTTAAACTGAACATGCAATCAAGTTTTGTCTTAAGGAAGTGATATTTTAGCAGTATTTTTCAGTTTTACACTCTAAAATCATCCCAAGGCATAGGAGCCATAGCCTCAACTGAAAGTGAATTTTTGCAGGGACTGTTAATAGCCGTTTGTATCTAGCACTATATATATATATATATATATATATATATACATATATATAAAATATATAACCTGTCACTATGTGACAAGGGTTGCAGACCTGGGGTTGCAGTAAGGGCTGGTGAACTGGGGGAATAGTGTAGATATTTAATGACTACTTGTTTTGTTTTTTGATTGAACACTTAGCCTATCTATGCACATAGTGGCATAAGGGTTTGATACTTAGGTGTTTGACAAACTGAGATGCTTCCTATACAGTTGCGGCCTGGGGAGAGAGCCCAGTGCTTGGGATTAAGGCTGGATAGGTTTGAATCATCACTTTCTTTCTTCCACTGGGGATTTAACAAAAACTTTCAAACTTCAGGTTTGGAAGTTTTGATAGGTTTGTTTTTGGATATGTAAATAGCTGATTCCTATATTTGGTCAGATTTCTCCTGACTGGCTGTTCCTAAATTCTTAGGATACGTCCTAGTAAATTACACTTTGTGAATTGTCATATGTGTAATCGTTGAATTTTGGATGTACCTAATTTGATAAGTTTTAAAAAATATTTCCATTTAAGGTATCTGTTTGCAGGTCAGAAAATGAGAAAATGTAATTGTGTAATGTGCTGAAATGTAAAAAAAAAAAAAAAAAAACAAAAAAGCTGTAAATAAAATTGACTAAAGCCGAATTATTTGTGTGTGTTTCTCAAAAAGCTTGAAAAATTTCAAGATGGTAGAAAACAATTCTTTGTAGTAGTGTTTAGAGGAGGGAAAAGAGCAAACTTTTTTTTTCCTATTTGCCCTATTGGAATATATTACAAGTATAGGTAAAATTCAAATGACAAGTGATTAATCAGTATATTCTTAAAATGGATTTTTGTAGTGTAGAGGTCTGGTATGCTTCTATATTTAATACCCCTCTCGCCAATTTCTCATAAATGTGGGTTTTAATTTTTCATTTTTAGCGTTGATATTTTATCACATGCTTTATTTTTTTACACTTGGGTAATTACAACCAGTCTCTTCTCTATGGTGTTGGTCCTCTGCCTCAGGTATCATTGCTTTTAGGGGCTAGTAACATAGCTCACTTTTCTACATGGTCTGTTTTATCCATAAGATTTGATTTCTTATTCTTCATTTCAGCTTTGTATGATTAGTGAAAAATATATCTGATAGCCTATGGAGGCAAATTTATCCCAAGATTTTTTAAGTTGCTTTCTACTTTTTGTGTCTGACATAGCTAATTTAACTTTTAAATTTGATACAATTTTGATAAATTTGATACAATTGGAAACTTGAAACTTTTGAGAGCAACTTTGTGGATTTCTAAATCCAACTTGAAAGATTTTAGTTACTAAGGAATTTATAATGAAAAAATTAATGGAGATTGAAAATCAGTAGTCTTCTGTCAGCTTCCTTAAGGTTATGGACTTCTGTGATTTCTGCAAAAGCAAGTAGAATTCCTGGGGAACTCGGTCAATGCTTTTTGATTATAATAAACACACAATTAAAAAACCAAGATGTTTCACTTGAATAGAACATATTCTTTCCTGCAAACAGAAACAACTATACTATTGCAAAAAATCTTTGTTTGATTATAACAAGTTGAAAAAATTTAGTGTGATTGAAGGGTTATAAGGAAGTTTCTCAGAAGTATTTGTTTCGGATTAATGAATTTGCTTTATTCAGATACTTTTGAAAGTTTGAAATCAAAAGTCCAGAAAGATTTAAACCAGCAGAGCAAAAAGTCACCCACATTTTTTAATTTCAAAGTTTTGTGTAATGATCCAGTTGACTTCTAACAGTGATTCTGAAAGTAAATATTGCTAATACAGTCAGGTGCTTTGGCAAATGTGCTCTGTGGCATAAACCAAATTTGGTTTGTTTCAGAAACCATGGGGAAAAAGAATAAAGAAAATAAAGTCATGACTGTAAAGTAGAAAAATTACATTGAATTTTATATTGTCCATACCTTGAGGAAAAGGTTGAACCATAATCACAGATTTGCTTGATTTCTAATTATCATGCCAAATGATCCCTCCATTTTAAACTGACAGTGTGGCATGTTTCATCTGAGGTTTCAATAGGGAAACAAGTTTTAAGGAATTTCTCTAATAGTGTTAGAAAGTATATTGTGAACACTCAAGTCCAATAGCTACATATTAATGTTTTATACAAATAGAGATTTCTTAAGCAGCTGGATAAGTTTGTCCAGTATCTACTGCAGATTGAGATAAGTTGAATTGGATAACTGTAGCCATTTACCTTTTCCGTTTCTCTTTGAAATGATAAAAGGAGGTATTAGTCACTTATTTGTATTGAGATAACCAAGTAGGTATTTTTTTCCCCTTGCAGAGAGAGAAAACCAGGCTTAGGCCAAATCTCCAGTGGTCTCAGAAGTGGCTAAAACAAAGGATTAGCAACCAACCAAGTGGAGAAATAAGAGCTGTGAAAGCTAAGAATGTCTTTATTTTTAGAAATTCTTAAAAATTTAAAGCATCAGGAAGATATTTTTTCCTTTTGGTATTCTAGAATTTGTAGACTAGAAAACTGATTGCTCCTTTGGAAGGGACATCTATTCAGCTCATTTACAGACATGGAACCAGAGACCTAGTGAGATAGGAAAACTAGGATTCATTAGTCTGAAGCTCCTATGCTTGACCAGATGGTATGTCTGCATAGTTTTGATGGGAATATCTATAAATAGGTGGTAGTTATAGATCAGTACTAAGTAAAACAGAAATTTAGATATCTAGAAGACTTCATGCGAAGAACGTGGAACTGATACTAGAGTCAACTAAATGAATGTAACTCGCCTTCAAGTACTTGGTTTTTGCTTGGCCAGTTACCTGCCTGGTTTTATTGCACCTCGATAGGATTTTCATTTTGAAAATGAAAGTTAGTATTGTTAAGAGGTATTTGAATATCTGGGTTACTCTTCTATGGTTTCCAAGTTACAGAACATTAAATTGAGTTGCACCCCTATTTGAACAGGTTGTACCTTTCTAAAATTGGTCATGTTGGAGGAAAGATACACGTTTAAAGTGTACAAGATGGTCAGTTTTTCTTTATGGATAGTAACTGAATTGGAGATTAGAAATGGCTTAAGAAATCTGTAATATAAAAAACTAGATTTTCCCTTTTAAATTGTGCACTTCGGTTTTTGCTGCATTCATTCACTTTATTAATACTGCATAGCAAAGCAGAACAGAGCCATGGGCAGATGTCTAGAAAAATTGATAATATGGTTTAATTCAGGGACTTGTGCCCTGAATTATGGCCCAGTGATGGCCTCCAGTAGGGAATTTGCCAGATAGAATGAAGATCCTATTTTATGAGTTTAAGCAAATTTAGTCTTCACTTTGGAACTGTACTAATATGATAGCTGTTAAAAGAATTTTAATTGAAATCCCTGATACCATGGCTGTTGCCATGCCAGTTACCAGTTTAGGGAGAAAATAAAATAGCTTAGGTGAAAATTTTTTTTTATATTCAGTATTTACAGTTTGTATACACTTAATGTATTCTTCATCCACAAAAGTGAACAGAATTTACAAAATGAAAGCATTAGCCCATTAAGATGCCCTGCCTTGCTATTTTGAATAAAGGTATGAGAAGGTTAAAGTCATAGTGATAATAGCTGATGTATATATTTTTGGTTTTCTAGAATATATTGGTGTTTTTACCATAGATAGTTGACACTGAGAAACAACTTTTTTTGTCTTCCTAATAATCTTTACTCAAGAGATCCAAAGAGGATTTTTTCCCTTTTACTTTTCCTTGTGCTGTGGTATTAGGTAGAAATCATTTTCTCCTTGCCATACTAATAGAGCACGGTAATTTGTTTTTGAAAGAAACTTAAAATTTCTGGTGGTGTCTTTCAAGAGGGTGTTTGGAAGTCGATTACGGGGGTGTTTTTCTTGGTCAGCACTATGGGACATGCCACAGGCAGTGCCTGGCTTCCAGAATTCCTTCCTACCCATCTTGCAGTCTTTCACAAGGAAATATTGTTGCCCACAATGCTGTAATGGCACCCCCACTTTTAAGCACTGTAACTGCCTCTTGGCAAAATTTTTAGGTGAATTAGTTTAACTGCATTTATCTGTTAAGATTAGGTTTTAAGTTAAAACCTGTTCCTTAAGATTAGGTTTTAAGTTAAAACCTGTTCCTTTCCAGTGACAATTGTTTGGACAATTTTATGAATATGGAAGCCATTTAATTGTTTTACTAATAGAGTTAAGATATATTCCAAAACTTTTGGCCATATTTTCATAATATATGTACTAATTTTGAATTACTTTTCCACTTTTATGTGAGTACAGTTAATGGAAAACAAACGTGCCTTGCCATACGTAATTATTAAATAATTATTAAAATAAAACTTTAAGATCATCTTGCATCCCACACTTTGGCAGGAAATATTGAATTAATTTTTATATCATGCCTTTGAATCCATCTTGGGATAGATTGAGTCAAATTTTAAGACATTAATTTCTCAGACCTGGGTGGTACAAACAATTAACAGGCTTGTCTGCTAACAGAAAAGTTAGAGGTTTGGGTCCACCCAGAGGCACCTCAGAAGAAGGGCCTGGAGATCTACTTCTGAAAAATCAACCATTGAAAACTCTAGAGAGCACGGTTCTGCTCTGACATACATGGGGTCACGATGAGTTGGAATCAATTCAACACTGGTTTAATTAATTTCTGAAAAAATGAATCGCTGAACTTCAGTTTTTTCTTATAGATTCCTGCTAACACAAATTAAAGATTGGTTGTGGGGAGGTGTAATGGAAGAAAAGAAACTGTAGGCTTACAGTTATCAGAATTTTAACAAAATACTGTTTCTGAGTCAAATTACCGTTTTTCAGTTGAATAACAGATGGTTGTCGTGCATGTTGTCTAATTTACGGGCCTTCTACTATACACAACTTTTGTTTGTAAAACAATTTTATAAAATTATATTGAAAATAGGCTGATTTTTAAAAAGCCTGTTTTTAAAAATTGGTTTAAACATGGATTTAATATTGTTTCTTCAAATTCCTGATTATATTTGTAAGGTCTCTTTAAAAAAACTTGAAAGTACAGCCAATAATTAAATATGGAATTTTCCCAGTATCATAAGAATGTGAGTTACATCCTTTTGTTGTCTTAGAAATCTGAGTCTTAATTAGATACAACTATTTAAAACTCCTTATTAAAATTTTTTTCTGTCCAGGCATCAGTATCTATAAGGAAAACCAAATACTCCGTAGGCTGTTGGTATAATCACACTTTTTTTCCCTTTTCACATGAACTAAAATACTTGTGCTTATAATGTATATCACATTTTAGCAAGGGATTGGTGTTATTTATTTTAAGTATTAAAAATAACTTCATAGCCTTCAGTATTCCTCAGTGAGTTCTCTTTGGCACAAAGATTCACTTAAAAGCCAGATCAATTGATTAATCACTATTCCTATCTTGTAAACCAAATTTCTTTAGGGCACAGAATCACAAGTTGTTACCTAATCTTATCGTTGGATTTATGGCAAAAGTTTCTTTGTAATAAATTATTTCTTAAAAAAAAAAAAAAAAAAACCTGGAGAAAAAGCCTAGAATGAATATTTTTTCCCCTAGGTAAAATAGAGTTGTTTGTGGGATGTTTTTATAGAAATATGAGAGGGTTATCCAGTTGAGCGTAAAAGGTAGAAATGGTTACCTATGCATGTGTCGCTTGTAAGTGATGCAGGTAGGTTGGAGCATTAACATTTTGCACCAGTAGTGCCCGATGAGTGCTCTTTGACTTTGCAGGCACATGGTTGAGAGCACACACTCTTGATCCAGATTAGTAGGTTCATATATTGACTTGGATCTGCCCCCTACAACCTGTGTAATCTTTGGCAAGTTACCTGCCATCATCTGTATAATAGGGGGAATAATAGTACCCCCGTATACGGTCATTGCCACCACTTGTCTGCCAGTTTGTCGTACTGTCGCGGCGTTCGTGTTGCTGTGATGCTTGAAGCTGTGCCACTGGTAATTCAAGCCCCATGTTGCAGTATTGAAGGATTCCATGGGCAAATATTGAAAGACGCAGGAAGCATCAAAAGAAGATGGAAGGAATACACAGAATCACTGCACCAAAAAGAATTAGTTAACATTCAGCCATTTCAGTAAGTAACATATGATCAAGAACCAATGGTATTGAAAGAAGGAGTCCAAGCTGCACTGAAGGCACTGGTGAAAAACAGGGCTCCAGGAATTGACAGAATACCAATTGAGCAGTTTCAACAAATGGATGCAGTGCTGGAGGTGCTCAGTCATTCAGAAATTTGGAAGACAGCTACCTGGCCAACCAACAGGAAGAGATCTATATTTGTGCCCATTCCAAAGAAAGGTGATCCAACAGAATGCAGAAATTATCAAACAATATCAGTATCACATGCAGGTAAAATTTGCTGAGGATATTTCAAAAGTGATTGCAGCACTACATCGACAGGGAACTGCCAGAAATTCAAGCCAGGTTCAGAAGAGGACAGGATGTCAGGTGGATCTTGGCTGAAAGCAGAGAATACCAGAAAGATGTTTATCTGTGTTTTATTGACTATGCAAAGGCATTTGACTGTGGATCATAACAAATTATGGATAACATTGTGAAGAATGGGAATTCCAGAATACTTAACTGTGCTCATGAGGAACGTACATAGACCAAGAGGCAGTCATTCGAACAGAACAAGGGGATACTGCATTGTTTAAAATCAGGAAAGGTGTGTGTCAGGGTTGTATCCTTTCACTATACTTACTCCGTATGCTGAGCAGATAATCTGAGAAGCTGGACTATATTAAGAAGAACGTGGCATCAGGATGGGTGGAAGACTAACAACCTGCGATATGAAGATGACAGCTTTGCTTGCTGAAAGTGAAGCGGACTTGAAGCGCTTACTGAAGATCAAAGACTACAGCTTCAGTATGGATTACACCTCAACATAAAGAAAACACAAATCCTCACAACTGGACCAGTAAGCAACCTATTGATGTCAAGGATTTCATTTTACTCTGATCCACAATCAACACTCAAGGAAGCAGCAGTCAAGAGATCAAAGGATATGTTGCATTGGACAAATCTACTGCAAAAGTCCTCTTTGTAGTGTTAAAAAGCAATGAAGTCACTTTGAGGACTAAGGTGTGCCTGACCCAAGCCATGGTATTTTCAGTTGCCTCATATGCATATGAAAGCTGGACAGTGAATAAGGAAGTCGGAAGAATTGATACCTTTGAATTATGGTGTGGGTGAAGAATATTGAATATGCCATGGACTGCCAGAAGAACAAACAAACTTGTCTTGGAAGCAGTACACTCAGAATGCTCCTTAGAAGTGAGGATGGGGAGACTTTGTCTCATGTACTTTGGATATGTTATCAGGAGGGACCAGTCCCTGGGGAAGGACATCATGCTTGGTAAAGTAGAGGATCAGCGAAAGAGAGGAAGACCGTCAATGAGATAGATTGACACAGTGGCAGGAATGATGGTTTCAAGCGTAACAACAATTACGAGAATGACACAGGACCAGGCAGTGTTTTGTTCTGTTGTCGATAGGGTGGCTATGGGTCCGAACCGACTTGACGACACCGGACAACAACAGCATAGGGGCACTCTGAGAATTTAAATGAATACTTACAGCAGTAAGGGAAGTGACTGGCACAAAACTTATGTAAATACTTGTTACCACCACCGCCAGTTTTTGTGTGTGGCATACAAATTTCATTCTGGTATCTTTTGATATTTTTCTGTAACACAGTATAAATGAAAAGGATGTATCATTATAGCAATGTTTTTCTTACCTGAAAATTCCAATAATCATAGTAACTGATTTTCCACAAGCATTTAGAAGTAGGCATGTGCTCACTAGTTCAACAGGCATTTATGGAGGGCAACCGTGTTGGAGGTCATGGGGATTATGGTGAAGAGAGAACTAACTGCATTAACGTTTCAAATCTTGCCCCATTCATTTATGTAAAGCATACTCTAAAGATTGTTTTCTAGGAGTCCCTGGGTCGCACAAATGGTTAAATGCTTGACTACTAGCTAGAAGCTTGGTGGTTCGAACCTACCTAGAGGGGCATTGGAAGAAAGCTCTGGGGATCTGCTTCTGAAGGTTCACAGCCTTGAGAACCCTATGGAGCACAAGTTTGCTCTGACACACATGGGCTTGCTGTGGATTGGAATTGACTGACAGCAACTAACAACTATACAGACTACTTCCCTATTTCTACCCTACCTATCCTAAGCAAAGAGCCCTGGTGACACAGTGGTTAAGCACTGGGCTGCTAACCGAAAGGTCCATGGTTCAAACCCACCCAGCGGCTCTATAGGAGAAAGATGTGGCAGCCTGCTTCCATAAAGATTACAGACTTAGAAACCTGATGGAGCAATTCTCCTCTGTCCTGTAGGGTCAGTGTGAGTTGGAATTGACTCGACAGCCATGAGTTTGTGCTAAGCACAGCGCCTGACATAAGTGGATCCAAAAACTAAAACCAAACCCGTTGCCATCGAGTCAATTCTGACTCTTTGTGGCCTATAGGACAGTGTAGAACTGCCCCATAGGGTTTCCAAGGAGCGCCTGGTGGATTCAAACTGTCAGCCTTTTGGTTAGCAGCCAAACTTAACCACTCCACCACCAGGGTTTCCACGTAAGGGGGTAGCTTACTTGTAAGTGAATGAAGAGTAGTTTTGGTTCAGGATCTTGTGTACTAATGTCCAATCACTGTCTCAGAAGCCCGGCACATCCCAAATCCTTTCAAAAGCCATGAGAAGTGTGAGTTGTGGGACTCACTGTAGTGGAGTTCTGTATAAGGAGAGCTTTACAAAGCTGTTGGAACCACAAAGGTACAGTTGTCTGCTCTGAAGTAGTGTGAATTAGCTGATTTACACAGATGCAGTATTCCCCCGGGACCCTGACATTTTATTTTTTTTAATGTTTTATGGCCAAATGGGAGTGAAAAGGTGAACATTAACCTGAACGTTCCTTTTTATACTTTACTGGTATGATTAAGTAGATTGTTTCCCCTTACTCAGGAGGGAAATACCTCACATTCAAAGGCCTTGATTGTGTGTGTCGTGGCTGTATTTTCAAGAGGACAGTCATGTCCCATGGCTCATTTTCGAGATGCTGTTGATTACGAACCTATGATTTCTCCCCACAGTTTAGTATTAGCAGGGACTCTGGCTGGGAGTGGTACATCTTGTTGCGAGTCCTGGTATGCTGGGAAGAACCATGTGCTATTTGTTTAAAACTCTAGAAAAATGACTAGTTAGAAAAATAGCACTAAGTCTAGAAAACTAGAATGTCTGATTGTGAAACAAGGTACTATTTATGCTTTTAATGTTCATGTTGCATCATACCGTATTGTACTAAAAGAAAATATTTAGTGTTCAGCCAGATGAGTTCTTGTGTATAATCTTCAATTTGTAGTCTTTACTTCCGGCCTTTGCTCTAAGTGTGTGACCTTCCTTCTTTCACATACTCTGAAAGGGATATGCTTGGTAGAGTAGAGAGTCAGGGGAAAAGAGGAAGACCCTCAACGAGATAGATTAACACAGTGGCTTAACAATGGGCTCAAACATAGCAACAGATAGCACACGACTGGGCAGTGTTTTCATTCTGTTGTTCACAGGGTCTCCATGAGTCGGAACCAACTCGACGGCACCTAACAGCAGCAACAACAAAAGGGAGGTGGAATGTGTACTTACCCTGTTCTATTTGCCCCTTTATATTTCTGCTGCCTCCCAGGAATAGTTGCCATTCATTGTTGGGTTTCAGCTTTCTCTTAAAGGACAAAATAAGTCATTTCCAACAAAATCGGTGCCTTTTCGTGGGGTGTCCCTCCGTTTATTGTGTCAGCCAGGGCTCCCGGAGCCATATGGCTTCTTTCCAGAAGGTTCCAATCCACCAGCCACTCCTTGGAAACTCTATGGGGGCAGTTCTGCTCTGTCCTATAGGGTTGCTGTGAGTCTGAATCAACTCAACGGCAAGGGTTTTTTTTTGGATACAGGCCAGGGCTCCCTGTACTGTATCCTGTACAATTGGTAAATTTCCCAAGAAAATCCTGAGGCCCTAAATGCATTGAGGGGAAACGCATCTTAATGTTAGTCCCAAAGACTCACAGTTCAGGCCGTGGGACTTGGGAGTGGCATGTTAATATTTTTCATTGAGTTTGTGGGTGTAAATAGGGCACAGGGTTTATTTGATGCATCTTCTTGACTCCTCTTGCCTAATTGAAAAGGAAATTCTTTAGAATGATTGTTGAAACTTAATTTTTACTTTTGGAGGGAGAGGCTCAAAAGACAAATTAGTGTATTCAGATTCCCTTTTTCTTGTTTGATTATTTCTTGGGTTATAGTTAATAGGATATTTAAGTTTTCCTATCAACAAAAGGATAAATAACCTCATTATTTAATCTCATTAAAAAGAATTGGTTTCCTCTGAGTTAAAATTTAGAAGTAATTATGTTTATAGATCAGGTATATAAATTTTTTCCTTTTCTATATCAGAAGAACCCTTTTTAAAGAAAATTGATTAATATACTTCTAATTTATTA